CTTCTATGAGATTCCGTGGAATTTAATAGACTCACAGAACGCTAATGCCATCGTAAGATGACCAGGTTGAGATGAAAGCCGCATTTGCAATGACATAGTCGATGCTTCCACCCGTGATTTCCGATGCAGCATTCACGGCTGTCTGAGATTTGGTCTTAGTGAAGATCCTCAATTTTATGCTAGGTGCTTACCTTTATCGCATCGAAGTCATCAAGGTCAGCTTGTAGGACGTGGATGTTCTTCCGCTGCAGCTCAGCGTCCACCTTCTGCTTAGTAGCCTCGGCATTTCGGACAACCCCAATGACGATGTTGTTTGCATCGGCAGACAGTTGCCGAAGAAATTCAAACTTGGCCAAATCAGCATTCCATTTGGCGACGTTGAATGCAATGGACTTACTCCAAGCCCCCTGGAGGCTCCGGTTACCAAATATGAAGACATGAGGATCGTGTTGAAGTGTGTCCGTGCTCACAGTTCTTTCCGCGTAGAAAGATTTAGCGTAAATCAAAAGCGACCAAAACGTCTCAGTCGAAGTAGCAGTGAGAGTGTCTGTATTAATAAACTTTTGAGCACCGTGATATATAGAGAATTCTATTCGGCTTAGAAAGCTATGGAACGGGGTTGAGTTCTACCGTAGGAGCAACTTCGATTACTAAACTTCGTCCGCGATATTCGGCCGGATTGTTGCACTTCCTGAAAACTAGCTTGTTTATCAAGCATGGGAAGTAGGGATTTTGGTCAGAACCACAACGCCTGGAAAACGTTTCAGTAATCGAACGGAGGCGGAGGATTGGGGTTTCAGCCTCAACTAATTCGACGTGGTTTGCAAGGAAAGAGCACGACTCCGAAAGTAATCGAAGCAAAACCTGGTCTCAAGAGTAATTTCTAACATAGCAGACAGAGAAAATCGAATGCCATAAATTGCACGTGAAACATTCCAATTGTTCAACTCTACTTTGCTAGCTTGCAACTATCACAGTAACTTTCGCTTTTCACCATTGCTCAGGTTCCGCAGCTATCTTTCAACCATGATCTTGAATAACCTGGTTCTTCTTGCAGGAACTGTGGCTTCGCTTAGTACTTCTTCTACATTACCTCATCATGAGAACCCCGAAGCTATCAACTGCTCCACATCAGCGAGCCAAGCGACACCCAGTTGGCGGCAGCAGCAGATTTTTGAGACGTTCATCCAGAGATTCTTCGTCCAAAAAGATGCAAAGGCGGCAATTTTAGCCAACATGTCCGTAAACTACACCCAGCACAACCCCAACGCTCTCAGCGGACGCCAAAACGCCATCGACTATGTTGGCCCAATCTTCGACGCTGCGAACTTCACAATCCTGCGGCACTCGTTTAGCAACAACACTGGATGGGTTCATACCAAAATGGAGATACCAGGCTTGCCGCTGACTGCGGTGGTGGATATTTTCAGATTCCAAGGGAGCTGCATTGTTGAGCACTGGGATGTTGCAACGGCGATGCCGCCTAATGCTACAAATCCTTTGGCGCTATTCTGAGTGTTGTTCACTCTGTTTCGGGGAACGAAGCAGTTGATAAGGGGATGACGATGGAGTATCTGAGATGAACCATACTATGTAATTAGCATGAAGCTCTCGGAAAAGCATGTGCTCTGCTTCAAGTTGTCATTTCTGACATGATATAGACATACAGGCATCAAACGACTTCGGATGTAGACCTTAATTGAAACCATACTTGGGGAAAGCATTAAAAGTAAACTAAAAAATGATAGTTGAACTAATGAAATTATGGCAAGCAAGACTACTCAACTGAACAAAGTACAACGCCTTCATCCACCGCATCACCAATCCTCCACTTTGTATGAAATATGCCAGAAACACCTACGATGATGTTGATCTCCATTTTCATGCTTTCGATCACCATGACACATTCACCCTTATTGACCTCCCCGCCAACGGACTTGGCAATCGACAGCACTTTGCAAGGCATTGGGGCTTTGACCTCGCTATGCTGGTCACTGTTGGAAAGCGCTTCCTTTCTCAAATTGGTATAGAACGAGAGCAAAGTATCTTTGCGGAACTCCTTCCACTCCCCAACCTGCTGTAAATGACAGAATACCCTGACAGTTTCATTGAGTGGCAGACTTTGACGACCTTCACCAATATTTGGGATGGCAAGGTATGCGCGAATCTGGTGGCCATTCACCGACATCCTCATGGATATTGGTGATGACAAAGAGCTCGCCTTCGAGACTAGCGACCGCTCGCCAGATAACGGCTTCAGCTCGACATTTCTGATGTTGAAAACAGGCCCCGACCATGCCTCTCCTGTCCGAATGGCTTGACTTGTGGCAGTGTAAGTGGCAGTCAAATTCGATGCCGGTGGTAGTTCTACCCCCTCTTTGGATGAAGAATCCTTCTCATCAAGGCTGTGGTGTGTCACAGGGTAGAGACAGACATCCCACTCGTTTTCGGCGTTGCTGGAGCTAGGTTTGGGAAGACAGGCCTCGCACCTAGTAATACCTCCAGAGGCGGATTTTGAGTCTCTAAGGGAGATGATCTCGCAGCTTTGGTGGAACGGGTCAAACTTTTGGTTGTGGAACTGACGGCGGACTGTCCGGAAGTGACGACGACCACCAACTTCCCGGGGCTCGTCCTTCTGCAAATGTTGCAGAAAGATACTAGGAATAAGTGAAATATGGGCTGGCAAGGCCGGCGTGTATGGACTTCGAAGCAAGTCGTCGATATTGTTTGGAATGAATGATGTCTTGTAGCCAAAGTCCTGGAAGGCTGGGTGCAACAAACAGCTTTGAAGGAATAACTGGTTGGTCCTGATTCCAATGCACGGAGTGTTTGCCAGCTCTCTGGCAAGTATGTTGATCGCCGCAGATCTTGTCGGTGCCCAGACAACAATCTTGCAGATCATCGAGTCAAAGTAGATCGAAACTGATGTTCCACTTTGAATCGCTGTCTCATAACGAATAACCGAGCCCGGGCTTCTTCCTGGAGATGCAGGCTTCCATAACAAGATCTTGTCATGGCTGGGAAGGAAGTCTCGCTGGGGGTCCTCCGCACAAAGCCGACACTCAATTGCATGCCCAGTCTGTGTAAGATTTGACAGCTGAGGGAGCTCTGAGAGACGACCTTTGGCCGCAACAAATAGTTGCAAAGCGACAAGATCAACTCCGACGACTTCCTCCGTAATTGGATGTTCGACTTGCAGTCGCGTGTTAACCTCAAGAAAATAGAACTTTCTCGTCGATGTGTCGAAGACGAACTCCACGGTCCCGGCTCCTTCGTAGCCTATCAACTTGACGATTCGGACGGCTGTCTCGCTCATTTTCTGCCTGGTGTCGTCATCGAGAAAAGGGCACGGCGTTTCTTCGATCACCTTCTGGTTGCGACGCTGGATCGAGCAATCTCGCTCAAAGAACGACACTACTTGGCCATACTGGTCACCAACCACTTGGATCTCAATGTGCTTACTGTTCTCAATGAACTTTTCCAGAATGCAGTCTCCTGAACCAAATGAGCGTTGAGCTTCTGACTGCGCTCTACTCAGTTCCGTCATCAGCTGCGATGGTTCGTGCACAACTCTCATACCCTTGCCTCCGCCGCCTGCGGAAGCTTTCAGCATCACGGGAAAACCGATGTCGACAGCTGCTCTTTGCAGGTCTTCAGCTTCAAGACTGGTGCCAGTAAATCCTGGGATCAATGGAACATCGGGAGCATTCTGCCGGAGATAGTCTTTGGAAGAGCGCTTGTCGCCTAGTGTGGACATGGCTTTGGCTGGAGGGCCGACGAAAATGAGTCCAGCGTGGCGTACACTGTCAGCAAAGTTTGCGTTCTCACTCAAGTAGCCATATCCTGGATGAATTGCGTCGGCGTGCATATTTTTTGCAGTTTTTACCAGCAGATCAATGTCGAGAAACGGATTTCTCTCGTTCTTCTCCATAGAACCAATGCAGATGGACTCGTCCGCATCCTGAACATGCCGTGAAACAGCATCTCTGCAAGGAAAGTCAACAAACCGTGCATCAAGATAACTCTAACGTTCTCGTGTTGTAATTTGGTTAGAACTTACTCTTGAGTATAAACCGCTACTGATGCTACATTGACTTTCTTGCAAGTAGCAATTATTCGACAGGCAATCTCGCCCCTGTTCGCGATCAACAGTTTTCGAATTCGAGGGTGTCCGTCTTCGCCGAGCGGAACATCGGCCACAAAAAGCTCTTTGCTGGAAGATCGTGCTCCCGTTATACCATCAGTTTGCTGGATAGCTGCCATTGTGACGGGGATGATGCAGGATTTTGGAAATAGGAAGACTCGCTCAAGCCCGTTTCTCGAGACTTAATACATGTAACAGTGACTTTGGTTGATTAAGCTATTCTAGGAGCTTCAAAGTCCATTTTTGATAATGGGATTGGCCAACATCATAGGGCTTTCGGATCTCGGGAACAGTGAACCGCGCTCCGGATAGTGTCTGTGACACGGCATAGATGCCCTTGCCGGCGGGTATGCTCGGGAAAACTGCAATATTAGCGCCGGGAAGCGGTCCGGACAACAGTACACTGTGTGGGCCCTGGCACCCGGCTCCTCGGAACTTCAACCTGTTGAAGGTGGCAAAGCGGCAGAACTTACCACAGCAAAGTTCTCTGGGTTTTCGAGACGATTTGATACTGTAACTCTGGCAGACGAAGTGTTCCACTCAATAGGAACATGAGCAGGCAGTTTATGTCTCACTGTGTTGCATTGCTCTAGCGTGTGCAATCGCCGACTTGGAATGATACTGTGAATGGAACAGTAAGCGCCATGCTTGATTCTATATTGATGATGCAATGACAACTTGGTCAATTGAGCGATGTTTCTTTACTGAAACTGCAAGGGGCGTGATTGCATTCATTGAGATTAGATCAAACATACACACCAGGTTCGCTCGTTTGTGGACACCCAAAATGCAGCAAGTAATGTGCAGTATTTTGCAAGTCTGAAGCGAAATGAAACAACGGTAAGTGAAGCTAATTCTACAACTTTGCCTTCCTTGCTGACTTGTTGAGCAGCGCGTCTCCCAAATCTCGTATGAGATGCTTCTGATACTTTCCACTCCCAGTCTTAGGCAGACTGGTTCCAACATCAGGGTGACCAATCCAAAACACATGCTCAGGGGCCTTGTGCCGTCCCAACTTCTCCGTAACCCAAGCCTTGACTTCCGAATCAGTCAGCGTCACAGTGCCGTTCGCCGTCTGCAGAAAGCTCGCGACCACCTCGCCATATCTTTTGTCCTGGAGGCCAACGACACAAGCCTCTGAAATAGCGGGGTGGCTGAGCAATCGATCCTCGATCTCAGTCGGAGAGATGTTCTCGCCACCTGCCAGATGTTTAGTTGAAGTCTTCGGAACTCAAATTTGAAACTTACCACGAATAATCAAGTCCTTGATGCGTCCTGTGATGTGAGCATAGCCATCAGCGTCAATCGAGCCCTCGTCGCCTGTGTGCATCCAAACCACTCCATTGTCGTCGACCTTCATCACTTCTTTCGTCTTTTCTTGATCTTTCCAGTAACCCTTCTGCAATGCGAAACCACTGGTGCATAGTTCTCCTCGAGTTCCATATGGCACAATGGCTCCTTGAGCATCTACCACTTTGGCCGCAGTATGTGGAAGGGCCTTGCCCACGGACGCATTTCTCTTCTCATGAGCATCCTCAAGGGACGTGATAAATGTAACTGGGCTGGTCTCTGTCATCCCATAAGCGATCAGAATGCCCTCGACGTGCATCCTCTCGCGAATATCGGTCATCAATGCGGCTGGCACAGGAGAGCCTGCGATGAGACCTGTCCGCAGGGTGTTGATTGGAGAGCCTGACTGCTGGAGCGCCTCCAACTCGGCAAGAAACATGCTTGGAACTCCAAGAAGGGCCGTCGCCTTCTCGTTCAACACAGCGGATAGTGTTGCCTCTGCATTGAAATTATCAGAGGGAAACACGATGGAACTGCCGTGGCAGAAGGAAGCAAGGAACCCCATGATGAGCCCGAAGCAGTGGAACAGAGGTGGGGGGCAGCACACAACGTCTGCCTCGGTCAGTCGCATGGCGTCCCCCACAAATTGAGCATCATTCACCAAGTTGCTAGACAGTTCATCAGCTTGGTATTTCTCACTCAGGGCTTGGCGCGGTATCTTACATATGAGTTAGAGTAGCGGCCTTCGGGCGACCCGTGGTTCCTAGAGGATGTTGAGCACGGGATGGAATCTAGATGGTAGCTAAACTCACCGGAAGTAAACTGGAGGTTCAGTACATCCGAAGGGCGAACCTTGCGTGCTGCTCGTCTCAAGACGGAGTCGTTCATGAAAATTGACTGTCCGCGGTTGAAGAAGAAACTGTAAGATTCAAGCATGCTACCCTGAGGAGCTTGTTCGAACTTTTGCAGGTAGACAATTTGTTTGAGCGGAGACTGTCCTTTGTCAAGACTCAAGAGACTTTCTAGGTGCGCCGACAGCGACTTTGTCCCTATTTGAGGCGACATCAAAAGGAGTTTGCAGCCTTCGGCATTGTGAAGAATTAGTAGAGGAACCAATTTTGAGATAATCACCTTGGTTTGCTTACCACTGGCTAACACGGCATTTTTCAACTCGTCGGGCGAGTACGTATTGTTGAAAACTACGTAGGGGCATCCAATGCGAGCAGCCCCAAGAAAAAGCTCGATGTACTGATAGCAATTTCCCGCAATGATTCCCACACGGTCTCCGTGATGGAGTCCAACCTCAAGGATTGCTTTGGCTATAACTTTGCTGCGGTCTGCGAGTTCCCGATAAGTGAGCCGTGTAGACTGCCACGGGACAATGACGGCAGGGCGGTCCCCATACTTTTTCGACTGTTCTTCAATGATTGAACCAAGCGGCTTAAGGATAAGAGGCGGCGAGGCAGGCCCCTGAACCAGAGAGAGCGATGCATCCACCGAAGGCGACATGATTGCGGAAGGTGAGGTAAGGTACTTGACGATGAGAACGATGGCCAGAAAAGACAATCAGTAATATGAGCCAGATGCGAAATTTCGTCTATGAAAACTAATCTACATACCATAAGTCATAAATACTGTTCCCCGGATGTCTGATAGCCGACATCGAGGTGGGCCAACCGGGGCCCGAGGGGCACGCGGGGATCGGTCCGGGAGAGCGCCAACGCCCCGACCCATACTCAGAAACCCAGTACTTCTACCGAGTCACACGCGACCAAGACGCAACTGACTCTGCTCGATATCCACAGCTTTACTTCTTCCCTCAATTTGATCAACATGATTGAGCAGCTTTTTCCCATCGAGAAGTCAACCGTTGACCTCACTGCATCCAACTTCCAAGCGAATCGTCAAGCATGGGAGCCGGTTTTGCAAGAATTTGACAGTTATCTGAAAGATGTGTCCTCGGAAGGGGATGAGACTTCCACATTGAGACACCAAACGAGACACCAACTGCTGCGTAAGTCGCTTTTTGGTAATTAACATATTGAGACAATTGAGCTGACTAGCACGGTCCAATGAAGCACGAGACAGGATTGCGTTACTGCTCGATGCAGACTCGCCGTTTCTTGAGTTAGGATGCTTCGCGGGGTTCAGGATCTCCGGGTCTAACTCCTGCGCAAATATCATTGCAGGTATCGGCCTTGTTAGGTGAGTTTACTTGGGAGCACTGGTTATCGATCCATTTCTAACAGAGAACGAGTCAACGGCCATGCCTTCTTATGTCGCATATCCCAACGCAGAGTGGAGGAGCTTGGAACGAGATGACAGGTGAGGGCTTATTCTCCATTTCTCTCGAGGCCAGACTCCTAACATAAGGGCAGTCCTCAAGGTCAACCGTATACTTGAAATAGGATTCGAGAACGATCTGCCTCTAATCTCACTGGTTCAGTCGGTAGGATTGCCATCACCAAGCGGAATGAAAATATTCTGACTATCAAAGGCCGGTGTTTTCTTACCTCAACAGTTTCGAGTCTTCCATAAAGGTGGCCAACTCTTTCGTGATCTAGCGATACGATCTCAGCAAGGCAAACCTTCGTGTGCCATTGTCTTTGGCTCCTCAACTGCTGGAGGCGCCTATCATCCTGCGCTTTCTGATTACACCATTTTCGTGGAGAATCAGGCTCAAGTATTTCTGGGAGGACCTCCACTAGTGAAGATGGCCACTTCCGAAGTGGTCACTGCCGAAGAGCTGGGCGGGGCCAAGATTCATGCATCAACAACCGGACTGGCTGATCAGATCGCGATGGACGAGTATGGGACTCTCGATCTTGCTTCGGTCTTCGCCTAACTGACACCATTATGACAGGTTTGATGCTATTCAGAAAGCTCGCGAATGGGTTGCAACACTTCGCACCTCGGAGCCCAGTCGCCTACTCCCCAATACGTCAGACCCTGTACCTCCTCGGTATTCTATCGATGATCTCCTCTATCTGGTGAACACCGACATTCGTAAACCATTCGACATGCGTGAGGTGTTGCTCCGACTTGTTGATGACTCCAGAATGGCTATCTTCAAGCCGAGCTACGGAACGAATATGCTGACGGCTTGGGCGGACATCCTCGGTAAGGAGCTGTTCATCACCCAATCACCTTTCACAAACAAGGTTCACTGATACATATACAATGAAGGGTTTCGTGCTGGCATTGTGGCGAACCAGACTCCTGTGATCCATCCACACGAGGCCCTCAAAGCCGCGCAGTTTATTCGGCTTTGCAACCAGGAGTAAGCCTCTTAAGCTCAGAACTTTTCCTCGTTCTAGCTGACCCAGCTTTAGAAATACGCCAATCATTTTCCTCCACAATGTCACTGGCTTCATGGTAGGTACTAAAGCAGAGCATTCTGGAATCATCAAAGCAGGCGCACAACTTGTGTCCGCGGTAAGCTGCTCAACGGTCCCTCATATTAGCATCATCCTTGGAGCATCTTACGGAGCCGGCAACTACGCCATGTGCGGCCGATCATACTGCCCAAGATTCCTCTTCACGTGGCCGACGGGGCGATGCAGTGTCATGGGCCCAGATCAGCTTGCAGGTGTTGTAGAAACCATCAGAACCAAGTCAAACGGCGGTAGCAAGCTCTCCCCAGAGCAGGTCAAAGCCCAGGCAGCGCAGTTACGGGAGGATGCGTACAGAGATTCGACGAGCTATGCAACCAGCTCGATGCTTATCGATGATGGTATCATTGACCCGAGGGACACTCGTGATGTTCTTGGAATGTGCTTGGAGATTGTGGGGTTGTCTGGCCAAAAGAGTGCTGAATCACATCGTTTCCTAGCAAGAATTTGATCGTATTTAGGTTATGCTATGTATAATTATATGAACCATTTTCCGAGTCCTCTCAATCTGCGCATTTAATTTTGTAAAGTCTCCCTTGCTCCAGCATTAAGGGTAGCAGCATCACTTTGACCAGATTAGACCTTCACCCTCATGCTCAAATGTAATGGACGGCGATCCTCGTGTTCTAAGCCCGTTCAAATGCGACCATGCACGTGGAACGGTATGAGGTGTAAGCTCGGGGTCATGAACCTTAACCACGAGGGTGTGGATCCCAAGGAGAGGGGATTAGAACAATTGGAAGATGACAATCTTGAGTCATCCAATTGGGTACTTGGGGTGGAAGTCAGGTACCTATCCAACCTTAGCCGGGCGGTCCGGAATCCCGGCGTACCCCAGATTTCCAGCCGAGGTGGCTATTAGGTACGTACCAGGGCCCACCCGGTCCGGGACCGACCTGGAGAGCAAAGCCGACGGGAGCATTCTTGGATGGGATGGATGCACACGAGGGCTCCTGCAGGCCACTTACAGCGATCTTTGGTATTCTCTTCTACTGCTAAACCTCGATCCAATATGGCGGGCTCCAAGACTGTGAGAATCGTCGAGGTTGGGCCTCGTGACGGCCTTCAAAATATCAAGACGGTGGTGGATACGTCGACGAAGCTGGAACTCATCCAAAGATTACAGGATGCAGGACTCCAGAATGTCGAAATCACGTCTGTCGTTTCACCAAAGGCCATACCGCAACTTGCAGATTGCCGCAAAATACTTTCCGCCCCTGTTGTGAAGAGGTGGCAACAAACCAATGGTACACTGCGTATGCCAGTTTTGGTTCCAAACACCAAAGGCTTACGCATCGCCCTCGAACATGGTGTTAGGGAAGTGGCTGTCTTCGTCAGTGCGACAGAAGGCTTCAGTCGAGCAAACATCAACTGCACTGTCGATGAGAGCTTGGAGCGTGCCAAGCAGGTGGCCTCGGTGGCCAGTGCAGCCGGGGTGCTTGTGAGGGGGTGAGTTCGTTTTTCTTTCCTGGAATGTTTGTTGGTCTTTCAGGCTAGATATACAGTCATCTAACTTCGTTTCTCTTATGGCAGATACGTCTCTTGCATCTTTGCCGACCCTTTCGACGGTCCTACTCCTTTACCTGCAGTCTCCCGCGCTGTGCGAAGCTTACTCGATATGGGCTGCTACGAAGTCAGCCTTGGAGATACTTTGGGTGTCGGAACACCACCAGACGTTCGACGGCTACTTGAATATCTCAAGGCTCAGAACATCCATACCGAGAGATTAGCTGGCCACTTCCACGATACCTACGGGCAAGCTCTAGCCAATGTGTGGACGGCGTACGAATGCGGTCTACGAACCTTTGATAGCAGCGTTGGCGGCCTAGGCGGTTGCCCTTTTGCACCAGGTGCTAAGGGAAATGTGGCTACGGAAGATGTTGTATATTTGTTTCAGCAAGCTGGGGTTGATACCGGTGTAGACCTCCAGCAAGTAGTTGACACCGGGGTTTGGATCTCCCAGGCCCTAGCGAAACCCAACGACAGCCGGGCTGGAGCGGCTCTCGCCAGCAAATCGAAGATCTCATCAACAAAATCATCGAAGATCACCGATCGGCCAAAGGAGGCGTTGGAGTGGTCAATCTTGGAACAGTCTGACAACGTTGTCGTTCGGCGGGCTGGAGCGAACGGTAATATCGTTCTCAACAAGCCTCGAAACGGAAATACCCTCACTTTTCCGATGATATCCGAGATCATCCAGGCATTCAAGTCATTTGAGAGCGACGCCTCAATATCTCGTGTTCTTATTAGCGCAAATGGCAAATTCTTCTGCACTGGGATGGACCTGAGCCAGGCTGCACAGGCAGTCGGCCGGGGCGGTGACGCAAGTTCGAAGCTGTTCCAGGCATTGACAGACTTATTCGAGCTCATCGACAACTCTCCAAAGGTCACGGTCGCCTGCATACAAGGGCCGGCTTTCGGCGGTGGCATTGGATTAGCATTTTCTTGCGACATCAGGATTTCCATCAGCTCGGCAAGCTTCACATTGTCTGAGGCCAAACTTGGCATGTGTCCTGCCGTAATTTCGAGATACGTCATCAGGGAATGGGGATTTGGACTCTCGAGGGAAGCCATGCTCACAGCACGGTCTCTGACAGCTTCCGAGTTGAAGTCTGCTGGCGCCATCTCGATGGTTGCTGACACGCCTTCGGAACTGGACATCATAACGAAAACCCTCCTCACGCAACTTCGACACTCGTCGCCCGGGGGTTCAAGCATGTCGAAAGAATTAGTCAAGTTAAGTTGGAGACACGCGGGAATGCCAGAGCAGCGGGACGGGATTTCCAGGCTTTTCAAGACCATGATGGAGCCTGGCTCTGATGCCGTCCATGGGATAGCAGAATTCCAGCAGAAGCGTAAGGTCAACTGGGATTCCCTAAATCAGGTTCCGCGGGCAAAGATCTAGTATGAAATATCTAGTACAGTACTAAGATGCTTAGTTCAATTGCTTTGAGTAGATACAATGACAGTGACATGTCGGCCGCAACAACAAGCTACAACTTAAAACCAGCTGTAATACCCACAACCAGGTTGGCTCATCCGGATGAAAAGAATGGGGAAAGCGATGGAAGTGAACCCACTGCGCTGCTGCGGGCCGTTAATGCCCCCACGCAGACATACATAAACCCCGGTTACCCCGCATTACGGCTCAGCATTACCCCGTATCAATGCCCATCGGTCAATTTCACTTTGGGGCGGATGAGCGCATCTGGGACCTCAGCAACTATATTCATTACATCACTTCGCCCTGCCCGAAAACTGTAGACAACATCAACATGGCGGAGCCCGCGGAATCATCCACAACGAGGCCAGAGAGAAGTCCGGAGTCGAGGTCACCACCAGCCACCGCAGGCATCAAACGCATCCGCCAGGCCTGTACCAGTTGCCGGTAGAGTTTCAAGCCCTTCATCCCTTCTTTGGCGGAGGCCCTATCAAAAGCCAAGTCGCGTGGAAGTCGCAGAGAAGCTGATATGTCGGCATTTGTCTTAGGCAGAAGAAGATCAAATGTTCCGGGGATCGACCAAGATGTATCAATTGTCGACGGGTGATGCAGCGGTGCCAATACGAACCCTACTCGGCAGTCTCGGCCTCCCTTTCTGGGAACTCGACTGCATTGCTACTTGGCTTGACTAAAGATGTAATCACTGTTATAAGTGTTTGGCCCTAGAAGATCAGCAGGCTGACGACGTGACCCTGTCTAGACGGACCTTCTACAGAGAATTTCTATGATTGAAAGCAAATTAGCTCAGTTGAGCGACCGCGAATCTCAAGAATTCAGGTATGCCTCCATCGTCAGACTTTTTAACCTAGGATTGTCGTGCTAATACAGCTCAGTTCCGCCGCTTTCAACGAGGCCAATCTGCCTATGGAAGACCACAACACTGTGGAAGAGCAGCCTCAATTCCAATCAAATGAACAAGAAGATGTTTTAGGCGTTCCTGGTTTGGTCAACCAATCATCACCCAACATGTCAACTACCTGGCGTTCAGGAAGCTCGCAGTCCCAGTCAGTCTTCTTCGGCGCCTTTGGTAGCTTAAGCACAAAGGACTCCAAAAAAAAAAAAAAAAAAGCTAACATGACGGTTCAGAACATTCAGTACATTTCCGCCGGATTCGGTAACACAGTCGCTGGTCGACACTTTCTTTCAATGGTGTCATAACCAGCCATACTCTTATTTTCACGAGGGAAGCTTCCGGCAGAAACTAGCGGATGGCCAGCTTTCGAAATGCGTGCTTCTGGCTGTCTTAGCATCTTCCTTGAGGTTCTCAAAACACGAATACTATCGAGACAACAGATCCAATGCCATTGAAGCATATGCAAGAGAAGCATGGTTATCCGTTCTGGGCGATCACATGACGGTGGAAGATTCTTGCAACCTTGAGGTCGCCCAAGCCACCAATATCCTGGCCATCATTGACTTTACCGGTGAGTATTTTGACAACTGGGTCTTCCTCACTAACGCCTTTGTCAGCCGGCCGAACCAGCTCCGCGTGGCTCAAGATTGGGATGGCGATTCGGATAGCTCAGGATCTCCAACTGATGAAGGAGCCCAGTGAAACTCTTCCTCTGGTGGAGCAGGAAGAAAGGCGGAGATCCTTCTGGTCAATCTACCTTCTCGACAAACTGGTCTCCCTCGGCAAACACAGACATTTCGCCATCTTAGACGAGGACTGCCATGTGCGACTACCTTGCGACGAGCTGACATTTCGTTCTGGCGGATGGGGCCAGAATGTGACGCTCCGTCAGCTTCTCGATTGGAGCACCGATGTTGGCGTTGAGAGTGGATTCCCAGTAGCCATCTTGGCATCATCCGTACTCGCTCGCTGCACACGAAGGCTTCTTCACGACCGCAATACCGATGAGACTCCCCCTTGGGACTCGAAATCGGAGTTTGCATCAATCACATCGCTCCTTCTCCTCGTCGAGTCCCGCCTCCAAGTCGATCAACATCCCATTAGGAATGTTGTCGATACTTACAGGCTTGATGATGGTGTCATAGATCACCCCGCAATGGGCCATGTCATCTTTGCACGTACAGTATTCCATGTCTGCTACTGCCTTCTGTACCATCCGTTCCTTGTGCGAGAGCAAGTTCGGAGAGTCAAGTGTCAAGTTCCATCAAGTTTCATGCGCCTCGCCTCACAGAAGAGCTATGAACATGCTCGGGATCTGGTCAATTTGTTGCACGATGCAGAAGCAGTAGGGTGCCATCTAGGTGCTTCATTCTACGCATATTCAGCGTGCCTAGCTGGCAGCATTCTCTCGCTTCACATGCACACCGAGAAGGATACCGAGAGCCAGCGTCACTTGGAACTACTGAGTGCAACCCAAGACAGCATATCAATACTTGAAGGAATGGCAAAGTTTTGGGATCATGCGTCCAAAATTGTAAGTTCTCAATTGCTCGGTGAGTTGGTGTATTTCAGCCATGTATGGGCTAACATTAGTATAGCACCATCGGCTGCTGACTTTCAATGCGAACGCTTATCTTTTCGATTCACTCCTTGACACGCAGCTGAAATCAGTCATGGATCCGGGATGGGAAAGATCCCTCTGGTCGATGGTTGATTACGGGGAGATGTGCCGCGAATCAAATCTATCTATCCCAAGTCCGAAAATACCAGCGCCTTCGGATTCTCCGAGCTTTCCAGACCTCGAACTAGAAAGTGAACAGATGCTGGATTTGGGACTTGGTGTACAACAAATATCACAGATCGACGACAACCTGATGAACTTTGATACTCCTAACATCAAGTATCTTCTTGAGCTTGCTTCTGGCGGAGGTTAGCATAGCCTCAACTCAATGCAGCGGCTCATCCTACCTACTTTTGCAAACGAATATCTCGCTGGTTGTGGTCGCCAAGGGGATTGTCATGTTAATCGGACACACACATTCATAGTGTGGCTTTCTAGAAGTGGCCTTAAGCTACTAGGTCCTGTTGAAAGAATCATTATGTTAGATATAGTAGCAAGCGAGCAGTAACGCAGGAGCGTACCTCCCTTAGTTAGGGCAATTCAGTTCCATGGGTAGTGAGGAAGTTGACGTCACAGGGAGGAAAGAGCAATGGAAAGATGAAATTCGACTGTCTAAGGTATCCACCCAAGGTGTCTACTTCATGTGCATCTTTCTTGACGAGCATTGAAGGTACCTAGTACTAGGCAGTACTTTACCTAGGCAGGGTTGCTTCCACAACTGACTTTTGTTTGTCCCTTTCACTCCGCTCTTTCCTCTTTGTCACACACACAGTGCCACATCTTTGATCGAGGTCAAAAAGGATTCATAGGCAGGCAATACCTTCACTCAGTCTATTTAATCCCCCCCACCCTGCGAAGACTTTTCTTCCTTCCATCACAGCACACCAAATCGCCAACATGGACACCAACAAGATCAATTAGAAGGATGCGTTCTTTTCTTCTACTAGGATTTGCACGATGAAGACACCGATTCACTTATCGCAGGCAAAGTGACATACGACAACTTCATCGTGGAGTCTACGAAGGGAGAGCGCTTACCTCTCAACACCTTGTCTCGTCCCCGGTCGTGGAATCCCCTGCTATGGCACCTCATACGATCCTCTCTGTATCAGAAAGGCAAGCGGCTACGATGTTGCGTTTCATTTTCTAACCTGAAAGTTAGGCCTAGATCTTGGAGAAAATAGCAGCAAGAGCAATCACGATTGGCTTCACGGTTCTCCCCCCGAGACTCAGGAGCCTTGGGCGAATCGGATGTAACTCTTTGACATCTACAGCGGACAAGTTGACTATTACGAACGAAGTGATTACGAGAATGACCAAAATCAGATATTCTGGGTTCTGGAATATTTGGAAGACCGCGCATTCCAAAATGTCGCCTGGAACCTGACAATGACTGAGGCGTGGATCAGCAGCCCCTATCTCCTAGAATTCGAAAACTTTCAGGGTCATCGGCTTGACTGGGCGGTGTCTCTTCCCGTCAATGGGGCTTCATCAAGCGAACTAGGTTTGCCGCATATTCTCGATCTCGAGGAAGGATTTGTCATCAAACATGAGGTTGGCTCGAACGTAATTCGTCTTCATTCTGATAAATGCCGGCTGAGAGATGGAGACTTACTCAGCTTAGCATACTTCCATTACACAACTATGCTTCGCTGGGCTAACCAAATGATGGCAAGAGGCGGCGTTACGAGCATTCAAGACTTCTTTCAAAGCTGGTCGGGAAATCGCCACTGGTCGAAACCGAATAACGCCGTTGATAGATTGATCATCTTGAAGGAGCTGTGGTAGTGCATCAGGATGATAAGCCAATCAGGCTAGTGAAGGGCTTCGAAAGCCTAGCGAACTGGTTTTTGAGAGAGGAAGGCAGGGGTCATTGAATGAGATGAGACTCGAGATAACGATTGGACATAGGATCTTTGGGAATCTTGAGCGAGACGGTCGCTGTAGTTTCAGGATGGGGATACTGCTCGATTTTAACGAGCACTACAACGCAGCAGAATGGGAGAGTTTTTTCGAGAGGAAATAAGGTATAGCTCAATTAATTTCTTTCTAGAATGGAACGTTGTTCCGGGAGTGTTGGCTTTTTCTTCATGACATACTCAAATCTTAAGCTGAGCGATAGTACCTAGTCCGACTCAAGGGCAAACCTGCCACATCCATGAGCAACCCAGTGGAAGGCTCCCCCATGTTATTGGGTGCGTATCGTAACCGCTAACTAAGGCAGGTTCGGTAAGGTAAACGGGCGAGACGCACTACCTCCCGTCCCTGGCAATGCTCAAGACGTTGAGGTTCCACTTCCTTCCCTTCCGTCACCAGGAGGGCAGGAAGCCTGAGGCGCACCTTCCGCAAACGCCACGAGAAGCCCTCATATACTCCGTCAAGTCCATTCCTGTCACCAGCCAGCAGGCGCCCCCCTAGGTCGGGGGGTCAGGTCAAACTGGCTGGGTGGTGGAGAGGTTAATGGTCCAACGATTATACGCCAACCAGCCTACTCGACGACAGGCTTAGCGAGTACCCGAGTTCGAGTCCCAGTATGAGCACCAAGAGATGTAGCCCCCAGTCCAGCATCGGGGGGTGAACTCTTTTGCTTTTTGGTGCTTTGGATCTATTGATGTGCTTACATGATCGAGGCCTAAGCTACCTTACCGCGCTTCATTGACGACTGCTGCTTGCCTCATTACCAGTCCCCTCGCACTCACCTTGGAGGAGAAGGCCCGTTTCAGGCTCCAAACATAGACCGTAACCTGTATAAAGTAGCTCAATGGTGTCTCATCTTATTTTGAAGTAAAATGCGTCACGTCGGTATGAAACTAGGTCATTCCCTTCTCTTTCTCTTCAAAGCGAAAGAGGTTTCATGTGTAAAAGATAGGGCCGCCTCCAAGCCGTACTCGACGACCCAAAATCAAACGCATCGTGACATGAGAATAGAGCTTCACGGAAAACCTGACGAGCTAAAAGTTTCCCGCAGATTAGCAGTTGCAATGTATTGGTATATATATATCACCTGCTCAAGAAGCATCAAAACCAAGGTACTCACTCCTGACATCGACCGACATACCACTCAGATCACTGCCATGGGATTGATGACACTAGTCCACGTGGTCTTTCTCTGCATCGCGCTTCACCAGTTGTTGAAAATCATAGCCATATGGCTAATAACTGGCAGTTGGCACAATCTCTGGAGAATCATACCGTGTATCGCAGACGACGAAGAGTCCAACATGTCCGACCACGAGTCTTCACTCAACTGGGGCGACGAGTTTTCCTTCCTCATCTTCGACTACTCACTTCTCTCTGATGAAGAGGCTTTGGTTCAGCTCTTCCTCGCATGTGTGATGATCAGGCACCAGTCAATCAGAAATGTAGACGAGGAACAGGATGTTGATCCTTCTCACTGGGTGTACTTCCCCTGGCGGGTTATGGAGGCCATCAGGCCGCGTTTCGGTATGTATTGGGCATCTCTAAGCTTCAGACCAGACATTACTCACGCGCTCGGTGTAGAAATTCAAAGCGAGGACGGGTTTTCAATCAACGTGAACTCTGAATCCGTACACGCTAATTCAATGCCCATTCCCGGCGTCGATCAGCACATCGAGCAAAGTAAGTGGCTCACACAGCCGCCTCACGACATCGCCCTTCCCTCTCCGCGAGATGATTCAATGCTCGCCTGTCTACGCGCCGAGTTCGACAAGGGGAGCGCAGTTACTGGTCAACCTTTCAACATCCGCTATGAGCTAGGTATGTTCCACCGGGACCTCTATCAGCAACTCACGATGTACCGCTACCGCCGCCTGCGCAGCATCGGTCCCATCACAAGACAAGTCGTCGCTGCGCGAGCCAACAGCCTGTGGGCGAGTAACCCATCCCTACGCCGATTTGAAGAGCAGCACGAGACGGTACCATGGGGCGTCCCAGTGCCCTTTCTAACCTTCCAATTTCTCAACTTTCTCCCGGCGCCCATCGACCCTGGTCCGGGTCTGGAGCGGTCGTGGGTCAGTCAGTTCCAGATTGTCTGTAGTCCCGTCGCCCGCATCGCCTACGTCCGGATCAAGCCGGGCCGTGCTTATAGTGTGAACGGGATGACGGTCGAGGAGGCGGAGTGGATGATTGGCGGGATGAGGCTTCTCCACGTGGAGATGCTGCGTATCTGGGGTCCCTGTCGTCGCCAGCCGATGTTCTGGTCGGGTGAAGATTTGGCCGCGTTTGCGCGGGATGTCTTTGATGGTGCCGCGGTGAAAGGGAGAGTTCATCTAGATGCGATCTCGAGTGCCAGGGAACATTGGAGGTTTATCCGAGAGATGGAGGGTGTTTGATCTCTCATTGGCTTCGTGGGTGGACTGGGAGAGAGTTTCATCTGGGGGATCTTGTCATTTATTGTTGCTTCCATGGATTAAGGTAGATTTCTTTCCGTCAGTTAGTCCTGGTAGACTTTAGGCAGTAGGCTTTGGTTGGTAGATGCCCGAGTATTCAATCATCATTTTTGTGTTTCTGTTGCTATCCCTATCCCTATCCCAAATAGGGTGGTTGGTTTGAACCGTGGGTAGACGAAGAGGTTAGTTGAACTATTGATCTTCTGCGTGAGGTGGAAAATGGAGGTTCCAACCAAAGGTTGGACAGGCCACGATTATTGTAAGTATGGTCTGTAAGTGGCCCCTGTACGGGCCTGCGGCCTCGAGGTCGAATTGGACTTCCAATTCGACAGTTTCAACTGAGGAACTTGCAATCAGGGTTTGAAGAATACAAACATCCCATTTGCTCGACTTATCGCCATGTAGGATAGGTAGCGGCAGATGACCAACAGATGAATCGAAGTAGGGGTTGAAACTCGGATATGGAATCGTGTTTACCCCTGTCGCCAATGCCGGACGGATCGTATTGGCATCGGTGATCGTTCGTCGGCCAAGGAGGTCAAGCTCCGGAACATTGAAAATCGTTCGCTTGGCGAAACGGGGGCACCGTGGTGGCGATCCACTTCGTGACCAGTCCGTCGAAAGTCTGCCGACCCGGTCCGTAAGTCCGGAGGGCTGACGGGGCGGGCAAGCCTTTCAAAAGGATTCTTCGCTCGAGTCTCTGCCTTCTTGTCTCGAAGTCCACGCCAAGTGATCAAAATGTTCACCGCAATTGCACACTTGCGGTTGTTTTTCGCGGCGGTCGGGCGAGACTGTTTTTCCTCCTTCGCGACGGGTTACCTGTTCAGGCTCTATGCATCCAGCAACGGGACTTTCGGTGGGTAATATCGTGTGATTGGCCGCTGCAAGGGATTGGGAAGGGAGAATCGTATTTTGCATTCACGTGGACTCGTGGAGTCTCCAGACCCAGATATATCGCGAGGTGGAGGAAAATGGAGGGAAAGGTGGAGGATGTGAAGTTGGAAAAATATGTTACATAATCCCTCACCCAAAAAGCCGGGCTCAACCGGAGAGTTCACGGACACTCCCTACGAGACGGGATGCTTCATTGGCTAATCTTGCAGGATTATCTGGATCTGAGTTACTGAATTATCATGATACTGGAGCGGTCGGCAGATTGAGGAGGGGAAAGGTAACGTTGACTACAGGCGTACGTGAGTCGTGAGGCGATGTCGTACGAGGCATCCACATGCAATGAACCTGAATGGCGGCTGCAATAACCTTGGTCAATAGAGAGAAATGAAGGGGTTTTATTCAATGGTTGGCTGATAGAGAGCTCGGAATGCTTCAGTTGACTGCGTTTCATCAACTTTCGGGCCGTCAGGAGGCATCCGAATCTTGGCAGCGTCCAGGCGCCGGTTGAGGCTGCGGGAGTGGCTGATCGTCTAGTCCTCTTTGCTTTCACTTTGACTAGGTAGCTGGCTGAGTAAGAGTTTGGCTGCGCATATGATGTCGTTGAAATACGAACAAAGCAAGGGCTTAAGCTGGCATGGCTCATCCAAAAACTCTGTTTTATCCCTCCCTTGCCTAATGCCATTATTGCTTCATCGCTACCTACCTCGAAGTGGTAATCAGACATCAAACAGATGGTGTTGCGGGGAGTGGCTGGATAACTGGAGATGGGATGGACATGTGCGTGGGAGCATCCCATGGAGAGAAAGAAACGAAGGCTGGAGAGAAGCTGGAGAGAAAAGACTGGACCCAGAACGGCTGGAGACGGCGCCGCACACTGCATCCAGTTCTGCGAGGGCGAGGTTCGGGCCCACCGGCCCAACGACGTCATCCGTTGGTGCTATGCATCCCGCTTTGCCCAGTTTGGCAGCCCGGAAAGGTGACTGCCTTTTGGTGTCATTGGGGAGCTTAAACAGAGAAATGGAGATGGCCTTCCCAGAGCAGCTAAGCATGGCAAGGTTAGCGGGAAATGGGAATAAGAAATCGGGGAGAAGTAAAAAAAAGTTTACGACCATGATCGTCATTGCTAAATCCTTGCGGATCTCTGTTCCTTCTGGTGTGCCAATCATGGTGTTCCTTGACTTTGCCAGGTACAGCTGAGGGCTGCCTGCCACTCCCGTCGTCAACTGCGACGCCACTAGAGCCGCGCAGGACAAGGTACGTTCGTCAGTACGGAACGGTGCGTGTGTGGTAGGTATTTTCCACGGGCAAACAAGCTTTGGAAGCCGCCCTTCGCCAAGTCTGCTGCCGCTCTACCGCAACTTGGCACCAGCCTCAAGTACGTACCTCCCACCTCTGACGCTTCTCTGGTAGGAGCCGAAGCGCAAACTTCCACACATCACCAAAACCTGCGTCCGGATGGGCAGCGTGACTGGAATTTGACAGCACAGGAACGGTGTCGACGAGTTCAGCCATCAAAATCTCACTAGAAGAAAACGTTTCCAAGGGCAGCGTCAAACTCAATTACTCCACATATTGGCTAGACTGGCACGCTACGTTCGTTCCTTGTGGGCTCCTCGCAAACCACTACATTTCGACCCTCCTCCGGACTCCCTCCGGCGAATCCACATTGTCAACGATCCGCACCCGTCCCCGATTTTTCACCAGAATTGTCCTGTGACCGCTCGCGACTACAGCTCCCATCGAACGGTTGACGCTACCTTTGGTGCTCAGTTTGCTTACTACGTTGCCCTGCTACGGTACCCTTCTGTCTTCCTTTCAACTCGCCCGCCCCCGTATCCCACACACCCACGCCCCTCCAACGCTACGTCTGGTTTAAGTGGGACGTGCTGCGCTAGAGGTTGCCTGTTTCGCGCCACCAACAGTGGACGGTGATGTCACGGGTGGGCGACTGCACGTTTGGGAAGCCGACTGGGCATGGCTCTACGTCGACAGCAACAGGCGCGTTGGGTCATGGCGGCAGGGTCTGCGTCCCTCGGCTTCCGTCCGAAGTTGACCGCCCCATTGATATATCTTGAAGCCTCGCCCGAGCAGGCAGGTTTGGCTGATCCCTTGGTTCTCCCGAATCATCCAGACTTTTGGTCTATAGAGGTTGTCCTTACGCCTAATCATCTCTCTTATCCTCCTTCGTTGTCGGCTGGCCTCCCGAAAAACAGGAGCAAGCGATACCCTGACCTTCTGTTGACCGTCCTGCACCTTACATCTGCATGACAACAGCTCAACATGGCTGGCACACGATTTGCTGAGGAACCGCCTCAGGTCATCAACCAGGCTGACCTCGAAGTCGCCAACGAGAAGCTCGAGTCCCGCGACGAGCGCAACGTCATTGACGGTACCAGCGCTAGCGATACAGCAGCTTCAAAAGAGCACGACCCAACCATTGATCACTCGGAGCACCTGAACGGCAACGGCGCCCTCAATGGCAACGGTAACGGCGCCAAGCTGGAGAAGCTAGGCACCTATGACAAGTACGAAATTACCGAGGACGACTGTTACGAAGAGCTGGGCTTCTGCTTCCCTAAGTGGAAAAAGTGGTACATCCTCACCGTCATCTTCTGGGTCCAGGTATCGATGAACTTCAACACCTCGCTTTACTCCAATGCCATCGGCGGCATCTCGGAGGAGTTCAACGTCAGCGCCCAGGCCGGTCGCTGCGGTGCCATGATCTTCCTCGTGCTTTACGCCTTTGGCTGCGAACTTTGGGCCCCGTGGTCAGAGGAGTTTGGCCGCTGGCCGGTTCTCCAGCTTTCGCTATTCCTCGTCAATATTTGGCAGATTCCCGTGGCTCTGGCGCCCAACTTTGCGACCATCATGGTTGGTCGCGCCTTGGGCGGTTTGTCGTCCGCTGGTGGCTCCGTCACACTCGGTATGATTGCCGATTTGTTCGAGTCCGACAAGCAGCAGTACGCTGTCGCATATGTCGTCTTCTCCTCAGTCGGAGGATCCGTTCTTGGTCCCATCGTGGGTGGCTTCACCGAGGAATACTTGCACTGGAGGTATGTGGCATTTGACTAATATGATATTGATTGATGACAACTAATGTATGTGCTTAGATGGTCCATCTGGGTCCAGCTCATTTTTGGAGTTGCGGTCCAGGCTGTCCACGCCCTTACCGTTCCTGAGACACGCACAACTATCATGATGAACCGCATCGCCAAGAGGCGCAGAAAGGAGGGCAACTCCAACATCTGGGGTCCCGACGAGCTCGTCCCCTTCAAGGACCGCTTCTCGGCCAAGGAGGTCATCACGACCTGGATCCGTCCCTTCAAGATGTTCCTCACCGAGCCTATCGTTCTGGTGTTGTCACTTCTCTCCGGTTTCTCTGACGCACTCATATTCATGTTCATCCAGTCGTTCGTTCTCGTCTATGGACAGTGGAACTTCACCACCGTTCAGGTTGGGTTGGCCTTCATTCCCATTGGTATCGGCTATGTTCTCGCATGGCTCCTCTTCATCCCTGCCATCAAGCGCAACATCAAGGAGCGTGCGGCCAAACCGAACGATGATAGAGCACAGTACGAGTCTCGTCTTTGGTTCCTTCTGTACACCGCGCCTTGCTTGCCTATTGGCTTGATTGGTTTTGCCTGGACTATTCAGGGACCTCCCATCCACTGGATCGGCTCTATGGTCTTCGCAGCCATTGTTGGTATCGCCAATTACGCCATCTACATGGCCACCATTGACTACATGATCTGTGCCTACGGACCATACTCCGCGTCAGCAACTGGCGGCAACGGTTGGGCCCGTGACTTCCTTGCAGGTGTCCTTACCGTCCCTGCCACGCCCTTCTTCACCAACATTGGCGCAGGTACCGGAAAGAACCTTGAGTATGCTTGCACGATCCTGTTCTGCGTCTCATTCATTCTCGTCGTCGCTGTCTATGTCATCTACTGGAAGGGTCCTACCTTGCGCGCACGCTCGCCGTTCGCTCAGAAGCTGGCCGGCGCCAGAGATGATGCGGGCGGTCGTCGCGTCAGCCATGTTGGAGGTGCGGACAGGCGCGCGAGTGTTGCCTCCGGCGCTTCTGGTGCTGAGCGCCCTGATCGTCCGGCGTACGGACGTTCTTACAGCCAAAATTCGCGCTTCTTTGGCGAGAACCGTGTGACGCCTCGCGGCACTCCCAGAGGCACTCCCTCTGCGAGCAGACGTAACAGTTATGTTGGTACCAGGCGCCAGGTCGCAAAGTAATGTCTACTCCATATGGGGCCCCCGGGCCTTACCTGAGCTCCAAAAGTTGATTTCACGATCCTTGATACCCTAAACCTTGTCTTATCTACTAGCTAGACATAGTCATAATAAAGTAAATCACGAATAATGCAATGATCACTCTATGGTCCACCTGTCATCAGGCGTGGGCTCATTACTTACCCTGTCAATACTTCTGTCAGGCCGAAGTCTTCACACGGTGCGGATTATCAGCCAGAGCAGCGCATCTCCGAGTATGGTAATCATTCAAAGATCCTTGACGCGAAACTACTGATGTTGATAGCATCATACCAGTTCTCTATCGTCACAACCATCTACGGGAATGGATTATACTCGCCTAACCCTGTACACACACCATCCATCTCAACGCCATCAATCCGCTCCACCACTTTCCCACCCGCTCCGAACCGAAGGACATCTCCCCCAGTCGCCTCACTCACAACCCGTGGTTCCCATCCGAACTTCTTCTGCGGGCCATGATATGGATCCTCAGCAAACGCCATGATGCGATCCTGCATCGCGTGGCTCACCTCAACCTCGAACTCCGTCGTCGGCGCAATATGATTCAACAGCCCATACGTACCAAACACTAAAGGTGTCTCGCTATTGTGATACGCGCCCAGCCAGTCATACACATTCAAATTAGGGAACTCGGCCGCATATTGGAACCGGAACACAGGGGCCTCGGTGGTGCTCAGCTGGTTCCGCGCGACGGTGGCGGCGTACGCCGCGCACACCCACACGACGTCGGCCTCCGTGACCAGCGTCTGCCAGGGCCCTTCTGTCAGGTTCTCCTTCGGCCAGGGGACCAGCGAGGAGAATTCGTTGGCTGTTAGGGAGATGAGGACCGGACGGCGGGCTAGTTTGCCCTCTGCTGCGCGGGCTTCGTAGTCGCGGAAGATGATGCGTTCGTCCTGGACCAGGGAGAAGAATATTGCTGGCGCTTCGCCCCGGTCGGTGTATTGGCCGATGAAGTTGCTGATTTGTGTGGGTGATACCCGGCGCATGCAGTCCAGCTCCGCCGTGCCGTCCTCGTCTTCGCAGTCGGCGCCGCAGGGGGATCCGCAGCCTACGTTCTGCGCGACGAAGGTAAAATTAGAGAACGTCAGATCCGCTTCGATTCCGGACTGCACGACGCCGGATTCCATGTAATATGACTGGGCGATCGGGTCGTCGTAGTACGCGTAGGCGTGGATATCCGCGCTGACTGACCCTGCGGACCGGCCCCACTGCATAATGCGGGCCGGGTCGCCGCCAAAGGCCGCGATATTCTCCTGTACCCATTCCAAAGCTGCGCGTTGGTCCAGTATGCCTAGATTCTGTGATATGCCCTCCGTGGCTAGCCCGCGCGCGTTGGGGAAGCCAAAAATGTTGACGCGGTAGTTGATCGTCACGATGATGGCCGACTGGGAGCGCTCGACCCACGATGTCGGGATTTGCCAGGGGAGGTCGATGCCGCCCATGATGAAGCCGCCGCCCGTCATGAAGAAGAGGACGGGAAAGCCGGCTTTCGTGGGCGGCGGGGTTGTGGGCTTCCAGATTGCGAGGTAGAGGCAGTCTTCGGAGGTTGCTTCGCCCTCCAGGCCCGAGGTGTCGTTTTGGGCGCCGTTGTAGATGAGGTTTCCCTTTGTGAGGGGCAGATTCCACATGGATTCTACGGAAGATACGAATTGAGGGCATGATGGCGGGAATTTTGTGGCGTATTGGGATCTGGTGGTGTTGTTGCGTCGGAGCTTTGCGGGAGGGAGCCAGCGGCGGGATGCGACGGGGGGTTCGGCGAAGGGGATGGAGCGCCATTGGAGGGTGTTTGGGGCGTCTGGGTCGATTATTCCTGTGAATGTGCCGGTTGAAGTTCTCACGGTGAGAGGGTTGTTGGGGTGTGAAGAGTTGGTGTTGCTGGCTGCTGCGCGGACGCTCGCGACCGAGGCGAGGAGGGATAAGATGGCGAGCTTCATCTTGAGATTGGGCATATTGCTACCGAGAGCTTTGAATCCGTCTGGAACGAAGCATTTGGATCTCAAGTAGATATGAATTATTTCTAGGTTCTTATCTACACTTGGTTTTGGTTGCCCCACCTCGCCCGGCTTTGGTGACCTTGATCTCATTCTAGAAGGTAGTAATGCGACGCGCATGTGGTCAGCAATCCTTTGAGAGGAAAACCGGGCAACTGTTAGCGGGTGATATGACGAATTGAAACTTGGCTATAAGCACTTAGCCTTGAGGTGAAATAAGGGGCGAGTCAAATAATCATGTCTGATCTGCTCTCTAACTTTTCTTCTCTAGCAGATGTCTGTGATGTTTGAAGTTGACTATCGTCAGAGTCGCAAATAATGAGGTGTAACGATAATCGCTTGACCCAATTAGTCGTCAAAAGAAATCGACAATCTCGCGGTCTCATCACAATTTATCGGAACTCAGATCTATCGAATATTTCAAAGTCCTCGTCACGTAGCTTTCCCCTTTTAGGGTAATCAACACAAGCTTACTACAAAGTTATGTCGCATGATCGTTAAGGCTATGCTGGAACCTCCTGGCATTTCAGTCTAAGTTCACCATCAAGAGATTTCCATTGTTCATCGCAAGCTTCCTATCAGTAACCTACTGAACCACTACAATAATTCAGCTGCGAGGCGCAATTTGAATCAGTTTGCTGATGCCATCATTCTAGCTCGGTCCCAGTTCGACCGTACTGCGATTAGCAGTCTAGCACCTATACCAGCACAAGAAGCTATGCCCAGTCTGCCCGCTCGGAGGCGTGTAACACTTCCCGCCACCAACAATAGCGTTTCCAGTCTCGCCAATCTGGTTCTGGCAGTTGCTGTCATAGTACAGGTGACAGTTAGTCCCATAGGTCCCGTCGCCGACGGCCCTAAGGCTGGCGATGGCGTCGGAGGAGGAGTAGCATTGTCCGCTGCATCTCTGTTGGGGTAATCGAGGTCCAAGTCAGTCTCGTGTCTTTCAGGGCTTCTTTCGTTATGTTAAGTTGTGACGAGGGAGTTTGGAAGGTGGTACGGGTGCTAGGGAGGAGGGATTCAAAAAGATGAGACTTACGCCGGGCCCGATTGCTCCGATTTGGTCGCTACAGCCGGTGCCGCGGTAGTACCGGCCGCATTGGCCGTTGACAACGCCGGCTGCGGCACAAGCAGCGCGGCGCTGGAGGTCCGTAGCGTCGAGGTTGATTACATCTGACGAGGTGCCTACGGCGACAGCAGCGCCAGTGGCAAGGTTTGCGGCCAGGAGAACTACAATATTGGCGAGAAGCATTTTGAGAGGCTTTGATTGGGATGAGGTTTTGTGGTGGCTGTTGAGCTTGCTCCAAGAGGTTTGCAAACAGCGGTTTCGGTCTTCTTTATATAACAAAACCAGCCTATTGACTCCAGCCGTGCTGACTATGAATTTGCTGCAAAGACTCTGTTCCTTCCAACTTCATCCTGATCTCAGTTGGAAGTTTCACTGTGTCACGACCTCGCTCACTAGGTTTAGTTACGCATTTCAACGCATGAGCTACAACGTTCCAGCCAACATCGTAGCGGTGTAAGCCACATCTCACGATGTCTGTCTTTGCCCGCTTCCCATGTTTGGTTGTATGAATCAAACGCACGCATGCAACAGTAAGCCCTGATGGATGGGAAGACCAATACCTTTCTTAATCTTGAAGCGGCACAGACATGTTGTATGACAGGACAATAGCCTATTGCGTACAACGGGAACGATTGTCCACACGCATGCATCTTGTTTGGTCATATTACTGGTCTAGCACCTATCAAGTGACTATAGCTTGGTCAGACTTTGCCATATTGTGATAGCTGAGACACAGTTATTCTCACATTCGGGTGACAACTTGTCAAGTAACACATCATGATGCGGACCAAAGTTGCCATTATGCTGGTACTGTTGGTAAGCCACTATTTTCAGTCTTTCCAACCTGAACTTCAGCTATTCAGGTTCTTGATTGGGTATCGAGGCGTCAGTCTAGGTTCTGTCTCACATGACCGGTCAGACGAAATGTAGAAGTGAGTCGATTTGATAGGCCATGTTTGATAGCCTATGCAATGACTTTGACATTTACCAGTGAGAAAATAGTATAGGCCTTCACTGAGATGACTATGTTACCTACGGTGATTTAGGGAACGTGTTTCGGCAACCCCTCAGCTGTGAGCAATAGTAAAATGAGACAATATCGTAGGAATGCGCCGGGTATTGACTAGCTTAGTGGAGGTCCCTTACGGTCCAATAATACTTGCCCAGCTTTGGAATTCCAAGTCAATTTGAGTGTCTGCCTTACTCACAATACCTTTTCACAATAATATGTGGTAGCAGCAAGCATGATCTGAAATGAATTGCATGCAGACTTTCGTTGGACGTATCTTTCCTTTCGGCGCGAGTAGAGTCGCTACATCGTGAGGTATGACGAACAGCACCAGGTGCTTGTATGCGTCGATCTTAAGCAGCTCTATCCATGTATAGAGGCAGAATGGGACTGTCCGTGGTAAATGTTGCATTATAAGGTGGGAATGGAAGTTTCTTGAATTAGCCATGTTCCGTACTCATAAAGAAGATGTCTCAATATCAGTCCATCAGTAACTCGAACCCGATATCATACATGAGAAGATGATAGAACACTCAGCTTATCCCTGAACCACGTTGAGAGTCTCTGCTTCCTTTTATTTATTTATGCCTACCTCAGCTGTCCGTCTAGGAATACTGGGTCTAGCACACACATGTCTTGCGGCCACCACCGGTGACAAGTTGTCGGGCAAGACACGTCATATGATGTGTCCTGTGTTCAATGATCTACTCACCTGACCACTCTTACTCTTTCAGAAACAACGAGGCCCTGTTTGGTTGAATTCCATGCTTTCTTCCTGAAGGTAAGTCTTGCTGACGGCGACGGATTTTGGCCGGACTTACATGACCAACCACAATAAAGCTTCTTGCTTCATCTTCATAAGTACATGTCAATCTCGAGGAACCTGTTGGAGCCGGGTTGGACAGCAATTCTAGACTCGAGCCATCAATGGCAAAGAGTCTAATATGTGGGATCCGTGGGGGAAATCCGAATCATCATCCTGTTGCCTGGATGATGCGTCAGGCGGATCATGGATGTATGGAGGAGCTGCGAGCTTTCAGAATCAGGTCCACCAAACCATCTCCAATCCCGACCTATCCTTTGGTATCGCTATCGTGGCAATGTCATCAATCTGCATTGACATTCGATCCCTTCATCTTCTGTGAATGCCTCTTTCTCTTCAATCCCGGCGCATCCCGCCGTCTTCGCCGAAGCTGCCGAAAGCTTACTCGTCGGAATCGCCCCCCGACTCCCGGGCTAGTAATCCGGGGCTTCCTCGCTGGATGATTGTCAATGACACCGAAGTCTGGATCACGCTGTTTTCAAGAGCCGGATGGCGCGGTCATCGTGAAGTATCAGAGACAGGTAACCTTCTCATGATCATGCGCCGATAACTGCAGAGATTTTTCGTTCGTGATTGTGGCAAAATTCTCGGGTCTGGATGCTGTCGAGTTCCTCATGATCTACCCGATGACTCCGGCCGAGAGATGCATAGGCCGCCGCGAAGCGCCCCCTGTGACCCGCGCAGCAGGTCCCGCCGGAACCGAGAACTCTCACGTTTGACGGTTCAAGCTAGTCAAATCCCGCGGTGTTTGCCATAGAGTCGCCTGTTACAACATTAAGCCTGTGAGGGAGAAAAAACAAGCGGTCTGATGCGCTCGTGGAGTTGGAGGAGTTGTTCCTCGGCTGCTGCCCAGGCGACTTGATAGTTGGGGCTTGTCGAGTGCCAAGAGCCAAAAGCAGCCTTATCTTTGTTGCCCTACCGTCTGCACAACTTCGGAGCTTGCCGCATTTTCCTTGATGAGGCTAGAAGTCAAATCTATCGGTGAGGCCAGAAGACTAGATAAAACGAGGTAGCATCTACGTCCTAGGACTTGGCCACTTATTCAAAGTCAAGTTGGGTTTCTGGTACGAACGAAGAGTTGACTCGACGCTCTCAAAAGTCATGTGAGATATTGAGAATACCATTGGGTGTATCACGCTTTGATTTGTTGGATGATTGCATTCGGAATACTTAGAAAGTACGAAGTATGGAAATTCCCTTAGATGAGGCTGTGAAGCTCAGAGCCAAGACTTGAAAAGAGCACTACAATGCGTGGGGTAGGTAATGAAGAATGGGGACTAGGACTGTATTTGGTAATTTTTGGCGCTTCTTAAAAGTCTCACAAAGCCCACGCGCAGAATACTCCAGATTCCTTAGATCCGATTTACGGTTATTGTCTTACATTGCCTCAGAACGGACGCCAATCGCGCTAAATGAGGCTGGGACGTGCTGTTCGGCTTTCGACCCTCGGGTCGTAAATTTAAATCTCAAGATACGGGATACTAGAAAGGGGCATGTTAGTCGAGGTGCATTTGAGGAGATTTTCTTCGTAAAAGGCTGGGTCTGTCCGCTCTGTACCGCTTGGCTTAGAATGGGCTCATCGGCAGGCTCTTCCGATGCGGCTTGCCCGCGCCTTTTCAGAGTCTGATAAGTGGAACAGAGTGTCACAGACAAGCATAAGGGGATAAGTAATAGAACGACTAGTCGAAACTCTCTTAGATCAAGTTGTAAAGCAATTGGCCCCAATTGGTGCGCCCCGCAGAATCGCACTTCGTAGAGACTCTTCATCACGCTGCCTGAAACTCCCGTCGGAGTTTTCTGCGCGGATGATGGAGAGTACTATATGTTATGCTGTCGTTTGGGATTTGATGCCCTTGGGCCTCGGCAGGGCGTTATTGGAGAACATCTGTGCGTAAGTCTTTTCATGTTTGCCGTTCAACTCTCCGTAATAAGGATCAGTTGATGGTTCTTCATATACCCCAAATACATACTGAAAGGCTGTGCTTTCATCAATTTAATTTTGGATCGCCGATTCATTTTGGTGATGACGGGGGTTCCGCCTCAAGATTATATTAGTTTGTCTTTGCTGGAACCGTACCCTATGTCCCGGAGAGTAATATGCCTAGGGCGGTGCCGCATGGATCACCGCTGTATAACCAACTGACATTACACCTACTGGCGCGGACGTAGCAGTCATGGACGACGGCGCGTCGGAGTAATTATGTAGCAAGGTATTTGGACTTGAGAATGTGCTGGCAAGATGAGTAATCCTACGGGCGAAAGGCATCTTACATCGAGGCACCATGGTAGTGCTTCACTCGGGATAGTCGGTGCCGATCAGTATCACGGCCAAAGCCGGTGACCGTTGGGACTCGAGCGCTGCTGGCGTGCTCACTGCTGGCGGCGTAATGCAGTGATGAGATTACGGTATTCGTCCGCAAAGTGACAACCATTTGTAAGCTAGGCGGTTAGTGGAAAGGCAACATGACTCGTGGAGGAGATTGATGGTGGAGATGGCTAGATTGATAAAGTCGCGGCTGTTTGAATTTTCCAACGTGAAGGTTTGCCCATTGTCATTTGGGAGAGTCTGGGATGATGAAAGATCAGACGCAGGACCGTGACTATGGATGCAGGGCTAGATAGGATTATATATTGGCTGTTGCAGTTTTGTAGAGAGATACCTTTAAAAGTCACATCTTCGTATTGTAATTACTGCTGCCCAGCCCCGGTGAAAGCATCATTTCGTTGAAAATCGCGGTCCGATCTTCGGTGACGCATCCCAATACATCCCCCACCCGCGGAAGGACGACCCAAAAATGAAGAAGGGCCAGAGATTAGAGTTGGGCGATTAAGCTTCGCCCCTAAAACACCAGACAAGCACCAGGATGCGTCGCGGCCACAGGCAGACAATCACTCATTATAACCACGGAGACACCCCTTGAAATCCGCGCACTCCGACGGACTACGATTATTTCCGCGCCAGCCGCCTGGTACCAGACACTCATCACACTCATACACTACTCACTCTCAATACTCGTATTTTGCATCATTGCGACACCTGCTCCGAGACTTACACGACGGCATAGAGGGGAAAGAAAAGAGAGTGAGAGGATCCAACAGACAAAAGAAAAGAGGATCGAGACCAGAGGCGCAGGAACCACCCGTGTACCGAGGGCGGGCTACTTGCCCAGTTGCGGGAAAGAGAAGAGAAGAGGGCGTAACGTTAGGGTGTAGGAACAGCTGCAAGAAAAAGCCAGGCACACAGGGCCGACAAAGAGAAAGAGACGCCAGGCAAGTTGGAAGGAGAGACTCTTTGGGAGGGGCCTCTGCGGCACGCCGCACATCCATGACACATTTGCACATGCGTCTTTCTCTCACACACACAAACCACAGCCTCAACCCACCACGTTCGCGGACACAACCCATTCCAGCCCCCAAACCTACCTAACCATTCCCTGTCCCCCCCTCCCCTGAGAGGAGAGCTCAAGCCCAAACACGCACCGGAGCACCACCATTCTCGCTCGGAGACCCTCGCAGGAGAGAAGAAAAAACCGCTCTGCTGGCATTTTTTCCCATCCTCCTACGAGTCAATTGGTCCCAACAATCCGGTTCATCGTTCTTGGTTCCCACGTTTGATCCAAGGAAGACTGAAAGAAAGTTGTCCCTCCATACGGGACACGGAGCTCTAATATTCTATTTTTCTTCTCTACCCTACCGCACTTGTATCAGTCCGTCTCCTTTCGACGCCAAGCATCAAAGTTATGGAGCAGAGCCCCGAAGACCATCAGTCACCGCCAGACGGACAAGCGGCCAACCGCGGGTCCGACGCACTTCCGAGACCGCGTCCGTTGGCTTGCACTCCATGCCGGCGCCGCAAGGTAAGGGTCCAATTTCCTGTCCCGGTGGGCTGGTTCGCCCTCGCTCTTTGGAAGGATGCTGGATGCCGTTGATCTTCACGCCTATCGGCGCGAATAATTCAACCCCAGCATTCGTGAGAGAGAGAGCGAGACCGAGCAACTAAGCGTGTGGGGTTCATCTTGGGCTAACCGTCGGGACGGCTCGTCGTTGCAACTGCAGATTAGATGTGACCACAAGACGCCAATTTGTTCAAACTGTGTCAGGTATGGGTTGGAATGTGCCTGGCCAGAAGGACGACGGTCGTCGGGACGTCGCCAAAGACCGTGAGTGAACCTCCTCATCTCCTTCCCAGCGAATCACTCGCTGCCCTCATCCTGGCCCTCAACTCACTAGTTGCTGTCGAGGGGAAAGGGGGGGTCGATGTGACCCTTATCTCCGATCTATTCTGCTGGCTCGTGGATGGCTGACACATTCACTATGGTGTTGCCTTCAACAGACTCTATGAAGATGTAGTTTCGAGACTGGCTCAGATGGAGAGGCTGGTGGAGGAGCTCCAGAAGCCAGACCAGGGACCGACACCTCCACAGCAATATGTTCCGACCGCCAGTGAGGCGGCAAAGGCAAGTGCCTCAAATGCCTCACCCCTGGCGACGACGTCGTCAAACAACCCATCGCCCCTGTCCAGGCGTAAGGCTAGTAGTGCAAGCCCGTCTTCCGGAAACCCTGACAACTATCCATCGCCGCCATCAGCTACTTCGTCAGCCTCGACCGGAGCAAGACCGTATTACATTGGGGCTCCTGACGAAAGTACGATAATCGCAGCAGGTACGTAATGATGGATTCTTCTTGCTCATGCCATTGGTCCTTCCAGATCGTGGTTGTTGACAGTGTTCATATGCCAGGTGCTTGCTCCCTACTCTCGCCGCAAGGTCTGGGTCAAATCGAGCTTCTCATTGGCGATTCGAGGTTCAGCAATGCCTTGAAAGCTATGCAACCAAAGGTCGTGTATGGCAATGTTCAGCCGTATCTTGAACCTGCCGACACGAATCATCCTCTACCTCCAAACCATGTCATTATGGAATGTGTCAACGGTAAGTTTAGCCAGGTGGTTCGAGCGATTTTGACCGTCTACCCGGGTTCAAGTGGGTCTCAGTATCAAAACGGTGCAGTCACTGATTCAATCCAACCTAGATTATTTCGTGACCATGAACACTGGCATACGACTGTTCCAGGAGCACGAGGTACGAGCAGCTCTCAAGTCTTACTTCCAGGGCCAGCCGCCGGCGGATCCAGGTTGGCGCATGGCGGTCAACGTTATTATTGCCCACACCTTACGCAAGAGGAATGGCATGCGGAATAGGGAAGAGTATCAAAAATACATCCACAATGCGCTGGGAATGGTACCCAATATCATCTTGCGCACACCATCGCCTCTGGCGATTGGGGCATTACTGTCAACAGTTGGTTCCCCTACGCTGCCCATGTTCCCCAAGGTTACAAGAACTGACCCCTTGCGCAGGTTCTTTACTTCAGCTTCACATCTGAGAACCATATTGCGCTCACCCTCATGGGTCTCACGGTCCAGCTCCTCTTGATGGCAGGCTATCATCGGCCAGAGCCGGACGTGACTTTTGCGCGCCCTCAACAGCTCATCCCTACAGAACACCTCCACCGCCGTCGTCTCTTCTGGCACGCATACGTGATCGACCACGATCTTATGCTGCGGATCGGAAAGCCTGCCCTCATTAGCGATGACTTCCTCCTGGACCTCCCCGAAGAGCACCCATCCGATGGGTACAGCATGTACTACTACCCCAACGACGTGACGCTCAACTTCTTCCTCGAGCAGGTCCGCCTTGCCCAGATTCAGGGGCGCATTTCCACGACGTTGTACTCTCGCAGCGGCCTTCCTGCGGCCGAGCTTGAGGCCGAGATCCGCCGTCTTGATAACGAGCTGACAGAATGGCGTCAGAGCATCCCTCCGATGATCCGCGCCGACAACGTCGATGCCCTGCTTGACGGCGACTACTCTAGGCTGGTGTGTCTGACGACGTTGCACTTCACCTACTTCCAACTCGTTGTCGCGATCCATTCTGCGGCCTTCCGGCTACCCACGCTGGAGGATCAAGAGGGAGTAGAAGCCGGTGATATAGGCCCCAGTCTGGCGCTTTGCGTGAGCGCATCGCGTGCTGCCATATCTCTGCTGAACTACCATCAGATCGAGCACCCATACACGCCGTAAGTGTCCTCATCTCAACCATGTAATGAATGATGCAGCTCATACTCGCTTTCTAGCTACCTGCTCTATCAAATCGCTTGGAGCGTTGACATTTTGTTCGTCAATATTCTCCAGAACAAAAGCAACCCCCGAGCTCGCCGTGATCTCGACCTAATTCGCACTGTCATTTCCTTCTTCGAAAAGTACGACCCGTACCACCAGAGTGTCATCTCGTATCAAATCATCAAGGTCATCGCCGATGTTGCGGCTACGGTCCTGGCAAACACCCCGACCTTGCCTCCACACATGCTTCCCGTTCAGCAAGTCCCACTCCCGGCCCCGAGTATGCCGATGATGCCCGGCTCCGCGGGTGCGATGCAGGGAGTCTTCTCTCCCCAGATGTCCGGACCAGGAACGGCCCGTAGCGGTAGTATAACCGGAAGCACCCCCGATGTCCTCGGTTCCATGACAAGTCTTTCCATGGCGGACCAGCAGCAGCAACAACAAACGTCACCATTCATGGACTTGTCAACAGGATTAGCGTCGCCCAATGACGGTCAGCTCTTCCCCGGATTTATGGATATGGCCGACTGGAGACTACCGATGGATTATCAGCCAGAGCTGTGGCAATACGACAATCTCCTAGACAATCGGTTTCCCAACAACCAAAATTAAGTCGTAGTCGGACCGGATCTGAGCATTTGCAGAGGAATAAGTCTTGGCGTCATCGGGTCCACTCTCATGACGGCGGCGGCGGATCACTTCCGGCCATCCGGCGGTAACCGGCGATAAGTCCGCAGGCCGTCGCATTTTGGGCCCACCTTCTCCGGTTGCATCGCCGAAAGAAACTACCCGATATCGCGCACTCTAGCGCCGCCATCAGAGGCGAATCAGGGCTAGCCACGATCGTCAGGCACGCGAGCTTTTGCCTAAAACTTCCATTTGGAATCACTCATCCACGGCTTCAATGACAGATTTCGCCGAGGTCGCGTGCCGAGAGGAGAGGAATTTGAGAGGCCAGGAAGGAAAGAAGAGGAGGAAAACAAAAAAAGAGGCCAGACGATGCCATCCGGGCTCGCGTCGCGACGAAGGATTGAGCTCGAGATGTCCGGACGATGGCCGGATGGGCGGTGCGCCTCACCGTAGCCCTAAGGCCGTCGAGCGAGAAAGAAGCATGTGGGAGGACGTGGAGTGGTAGAGAGAGACAGATGGATGCAATACCCGAGCGCCGAGGCATCCAGCAATTGTCTCAACCCTACAGAGTACAGCCAATTGGAATTGACTTTTTTGGGATTTTTTTCCACGCTGAATCCCTTTTTTCTGGGCATTCCTGTGTGTTAGTTGAGAAGCGCATGCCCAGCACACGGATCAAAAAACACATGTCTCGCTGAGTGAAACCTACGTCGCCCTACGAACGGGAATCAAAGCACCCACGTTGCGAATACGATTATCTCCAATTGGAGACCCCAATGGGGGTGGGAAACGGATGCCATGCGATTGCCAACTGGGACTTGACTGTGTCTGTGATTCTAGACTGGATTCTGGGAGTTTAACCCTTGTCGATAACGACAGCCCCCTGCCCGCTCCTCCAAATTCCCACAAGTGATGTGCGCGCGTATTCTTTTCAAAGAATCCGGGGTTTTAATTGTCAATGGCAGTTTTCTCCCAATGACGTCAGGCGTCCTTTCCGGACTCTTCGGTTTCACGTTTTAATCTCACAGCCCCCTTTGACCACCAAGCGAACAGAAAAAGTCAAGCGTGCGGCGCGCGATTTGTCCTGGGCCCCTTTACCGTCTCATTGTTTTTCCCTTTAGGGTTCCTGCATACTTTGTAGACACGCGCCATTAGGAATGCGAAGCCCATCTTAGCCCCCAATTCCGATCCCTTCCACCTACTTACTTACCTTAAACCCGGGACCTCCCTCCTAGCTGTGTCTCCACGCTTACCCGTACCGCCATGACATCTAAATTCCACAGCAACCCACGCCCTCTCGTTCGACTTCCCCGTCAACGGGCATAGGATATCCCCTGCACCTCACTCAACTCTCGCCTCTTTGAGACCTGCTGAGCATCCTTCCGATCCTGGCAGGTTGAGGACTTTCTCTCTCTCTCCGACAATGGGTTCAGAAACCAAGAAGAAGGCCTCAACCGAGGACAGGAAACGGCGATCCGACACGAACCCGCCCAAGACACTCAGAGAACGTTTCCTGCACTCTCTCCCCTATTACACGGGACCCTACGGCGTGGGATTCCTCGAGATCGAAGCACCGGTCCGTCAACCGCGTACCTTTTCGGAGCTCAGGCGCCACAACGTCCCGCTGTTGAGGCTCGATACCGTCCTCTTCGCCGTCTACTACCCGTGCAGCGTAAAGACCCAGACGGACGACCACGCCGCCCCCGATCATCACCATGACCAGCAGCAGCATTATCATCACGGCAAGAAGAATGGGGAAAAGGCCGGCGGTACCAAGAAGCCGAAGCTCTCACGGGTCGGATGGCTCCCGCGTCCGCGGGTCCTCACCTGCAAGGGCTACGCCAAGGAGTTCAGCATCCCGCATCTGCCCGTAACGGCCTACATCGCCGCCACCTCCATGTTCACCAAACTCCCCGCGCTGAGGAACGCGAAGCTCGCAGAGCATTGGCCGGAAGAGATGCTGGGCGACGAAGGTCCGACGGGTCAGACGGCGAGGAACGAGGAGTCGAGCTCGTGCAAGAAGCCAAAGTTCCCAGTCATTATCTTCAGCCATGGCCTGGGCGGCTCGAGGATGAGCTACAGCTCCATATGTGGAGAGTTGGCGAGTTACGGCTTCATTGTTGTGGCAATCGAGCACAGGGATGGGAGCGGTGCGAGGACCTATGTGAACCTCCCGGAACATCGGGAGGTGTCCGATAGCGAATCTTCCTTGGAGACGGTCAATGCCAAAAAGATCAAGAACAAGAAGAACGGAAAAGACTCTGGGCAGCACTACTGCGTAGACTATCTTTTCCCCAAGAATAACGAGCAGGACACGGCACCGAACAACGAACAGGGCGTTGATATGCAGCTACGCGCTGCGCAGATTGAAATGAGAATGACGGAAATCGAGGAGGCCTTCCGCATCCTTGGATACATCGACAGTGGTCGCGGGCACGAAGTTGCAGCCATGAACCTGAGAAAGAAGGGCAATGTGGCGTCGAGCTCCAAAGGGCTTACAGGCATCGTATGGGATGACTGGCAAGATAGGATGTTTCTCGACAATGTGACGATAATGGGTCACTCGTTTGGCGGAGCAACGACGGTCGAAGCTTTGCGGACCGAGTCGCTTAGCTGGGTTGGTCAAGGCATCATTCTTGACGCTTGGGGCCCGGCGACGCCACGCGCAGGAGAGAACCCCAGTCACCGGGTTAAGAAACCGTTGTTGTCGATCGGATCGGAAGCCTTTATGCACTGGCAAGAAAACTTTGACAGACTTGTCGACGTCTGCAACGAGGCCAGGGGCGAGAACGCGCTCACCTGGATGATGACGATCCGGGGGTCAACCCATCTCTCCCAGACAGACTTTGCAGTTCTGTACTCGACTTGGACAGATCTGTTCATGAAGACGTTGGTGAATCCTCTGCGAGCCATCTACCTGACGATATCACCGTCGCTCGAGTTTTTGAAAATCACGCTACCTCCGGAGCAGACAAAGTACAACACCTGGGTAGACGAGGAAATTTTGAAAACAACAGAGCCACCAACAGAACCACTTGCTGTGGTGACGCACGATCACCGACCGGACGACCAATGGATCGCAGTTCGCCTCAAGGTGGACAACGAAGCAACTCTGCGGATCAAGAGATGGTTTCGGCACAAGAATCGGGTCTTGATGGGTAAAGGCGATGGATCGGGCATGCCTTCGGGACTGATCAGCTGGGAGAAGGGCAATGAGGTTTGGATGCACGTGAGCCCGGACCCTGAGTCCGTGGAGGAGCAAATGCAACGGAACGAGCGGACGACGAGCCGGAATGCAGCGTAGGTAGGCTCGATTAGCATCGCGATGTGCTTTGTAGACCTGCATGTTCTTCATGGGTTGGTTTATTTGGGTAACGATTTTGGACATTGGCGTTTACGAGGCGTAACCGCATCCATGGTGTTGGGATGCTTTGAGCACTTGCGGTGTCACTGTATAAGTAGGGTGGTAGGTTCGTCAGACAGGACACAGCCTGCGGGCCTCTGCTAATCAAGATACAAGCGATTTCTTATTGCAAGTCGCTTGCATATTTGCGTGGAAAAGTTGCGTATGGTCGCTCAATTCAGAAACGTGATTCCAAGATCAGCAATTACTGGGCAACAGCTCTGCAGGCTATCGGGCGGTCGGACGGCCAAGCCATTGTCGATCCAAAGACGGGCTGGTAGGGTGCCTTTCGGCTTCAGCAAGAAGGTCCTAGACCTTGCTTATAATCAAAGCCTGTGCGCTCTGCGCTTTGTCGTGAGAAGAGGGTAGCTTTGGTTTGAGGTATAAGGCGAGGCTCGGACTCCCTTGCCGAAGTGGACTAGCTCCAGGGACGCCGATGAACAGCAATTTTGATCGATTGAGCCAGGGGTTGCCCGGTACGGTGACGTGTGGAGAGCGATGGTGCCGCGACGAGGGGGACCAGGATTATGAAATCCACGAGATTGAATTGTTGTTTGACCACCACGTCCGGCTGTGGATAACGTGGACGGTAGTGTAGACGCAGGCAGTTGAGGGCAGGCTAGCCTTGTGTGTCATTCTGGCGTGGGTGTATGCCACAACGTCTCCTCGACTATTTTTGTCTCTTTTGGTTCGTTTCTCGCTTGCGTGCCGGCACCTTCTTTTCGGACGAATTCGCTGTGTGAGGGCTTTGAGGCGAGCCAAGAATGGAAGACAGGGAGCCCATCGATCAAGGCATGCAGGTCGGGGTCAGCGGTGGTGGTGGTGGTGTGGGATTGTTTATGAGTGGACAATATGCAGGCGTCAGTTGATGGCATGGTGCAAAATACGAGTTGTGCCGTCAGTGACCACTGAATTGTGCGTGATGGTTTGTGCCGACGAGCTGGTCTTGGGTCTATAGCAGAAATCATAAACTTTGATGACGAGAGACAGGTCGGACGAGGGACTGATGTTCGTAGAGGTCTGTGATTGAAGTTTAACGGGCAGAACAGTCGCCAAGATGTCGTCGGTCTGGTTGGGTCCACATACATGGTCATCCACAGCTTCAAGTTCAGGTGAGGCGAGGGAATGGGAATAAGGTCAGGCTTTTGGCGGCGGGACGAGGTGGGTTGCGGGCAGAAGCCACAAAGGACGCTACGCCAACGGCCGGGGATGCCCTGACTGCCTTGTTTCTCAGGAATGGAAGGCACGGAGGGAAAACGCTCACACGATTGTGTGATCACTAAGGTAATGTGTGGGGGAAACAATGAACACCAGCGTTCCTGCTTGCTTCTTTCTTACTGCAAACGAAGTTCAACAGCCAGGGGGAAGAGCAGAGCCCCCCGCTTGCTCCTTCTCAAAATAGCCGGTGGGTGTTAAGCTAGCCATGTCCCGGTGCTGATCGCCAGGATAAAATCGCCGGTGTTCGCTAACAGTGGATACCAAGGGGTGGCGTCACTGGCGTCTGCAGCGGTCCCCGGTCCAGCTGGAGCTCCTCCAACCGTCCAACGCACCTCAAAAGCTCGTATCGAGTGTCGCAACTCAAAATTCCCATGTGTCTAGAGGAAAGGGAACCCTCCCGAACACCACCTCTCAACAAGGCCTCGCATGGCAAGCGGCATGATAACCAGCCATTTAACCATCTTGCTGCGGTGAAGGGGCAATCGAAGACACCTTCTCCGGCTCGCTATTGGATAAGTCCCTTAGTCTCGCCGCCACAACCACTGCTCCGCTGTGTAACACCCCGCCAACGGATAGATGACATGCAACACCCCGATGGCTCTCCTTTGTAACAAGCAATATGACCATCATGACATGACACGGCAAGGTACATTGTTCTAGCTGCCTGCTGCTAAAGTGCCTGCTACAGGTTCTGTTCCCGTCCTCAAGCAACAATGTGCGCTGAGCAGGTCCTGCCGATACCTAGTTGCCAAGTTATTGGCGCATCATGTCTCTTCGGTACCTTACTTGCTTAATCTTTTTCTTGGGTACTGGGTTTTGCCTACATCATGCAGCTTCTCTAGGTACTGTCCAGCTGAATGTGTGCCGGGACCTCTGCCCTGCTGCACCTGTTCTCGCTCCCGAACCTCAACTCAGACGTGCTCTGGGATGGTAAAGGGCTGATCACCATCCCATCTCGCGTTGCCCTGACCTCTATGGGGTAAGCCGCCTGGTGTAGTCTGCACGATGTCGGATGAGAGCGGCTCACCTTAGCTAATATGCGCGTTGGCTACCTCGCGCTCACACCAATTGCCCATTGAGAAGGCATCCCCATGGTAGCCATCTCATTACGCCTGTCTGTGTCCCGCTCAATGGCCATGGCTCTTCCCGGTTGTTGTGCAGGCAAGACCTGATAGAATCTGACCATAATTTGACTTCACTCAATGGTCCAAGGTGGTTGCTAAACGTCTGTGGTGTCGTTGCCATCTTGTTGGCCTTGCCCTCTAAGATAGGTCAAGGTGCTTGCGGTGTTGTAAACAAGCTCCAGGTCTGCAGTCTGCATAAGGTGCCTCCGATGACTAGGATCCAGCTCATCCCGATCTGCAGTTCCTTCTAGGTATTCCTTTTTCCCGTCTCTTACCAGCATCAGCATCAGGACCAGCATCCCGCATTCGAGAACCCCTCTTAGTCTCAGCGAACCCCGGCTCCTTCCCAAATATCAACCCTACCCTGCTCTTTCCTCCAGAATTCCCTTTTCGTAACTGTAACTGCCCCTCGCTAGACAATTCGAAATTTCCGACTTTCCTTGGATTCACGACGACAACGTTACTTTGTCGCACTTTCTCTCGTTGGCCTTAGCCTCTCCCATACCCAATTCGACCGTCTGTTGATTCTTCCGTCTCGACTTTTACGGATACGCGCCCACCTTTCACCGTCTTTTTTTTGGGTCACACCTCGAATTGCGCGACGACGTCTCTACAACGTCAATTCACCGCCACGCCCTGGGGGTTTTCGGCCGCAATTACACTTCGACAAATTGTTTACTGCATCACCTTTTAGTCTGTCACTATTAGCAAACGCCATATCAGCATCACGAAGAAATGACAACGCAGAAACGCCTCCATTAGCAACGCATCATCTTCTCTTCACCATCTGCCACACAAACTAGCTGGCTATCCTCTCCCACTTTCGACGCCACTGCTCCACTTACGATAATCCACCTCCAAATACGCCTCGAGACAAGCACGACAAGATATCCAAGAATGACTGCAACGGGGGCTCAACGCGAGTCGACCAAACCGCAACGCGGCCGGTCTGACAGCCTTCAAAAGATGTTGGAGCTGGAACACATTCGGAAGGTAGGCCGATCCCACCCTAACCTGACGCCTCCTACCACGTCGCATCCACACCCAATTTGGCTATGTTAGCTCCCACCCACTAACACGCTTCAACTTGTAGCTCGAGCGTCTTCAGGGGCATCAGTCCATGCCTGCGGCGACCCATCCCTCTCACCTGGCGTTTCAGCAGGTTCTTCAGCAACAGCTTAATCATGGCCGACCTGCCCAGTCACCTCCGAAACTGAAACCTTTTCCTACAGTTCATCCCGCTCCGCCTGTGAAGCCTATAGCTCCTCTCCAGTCTCGCCGGAGGGAGTCATCAGCTCAACTTCCCACACAGAAACCGGAGCTACCACCTTCTGCTATGAAAGCAGTCCGCCGAGCAACAGCGTTGCCTTCTCTTTCCATTTCCGTTCCGCCGCCCTCGAACGTCAAGTCTGAAATCGATCGCGGGTCGGAGCGCAAGGAATCGGTAGAGCACAAGCACAAGACAGTGACCTTCCTCGACGTCGATATGGTCGACGAACCAACTGCCGACGACGCCTCCTCGATTTGCCACTCACCGAGCTGGGAATCTTTTGGTCAGAACAAGAAGAAGGAAAAGAGAATCGAAGCCAAGATGCGCAAGAAGGAAAAGGAACAGGCCGAGAAGCAAGCCGAGAAGGAGGCCAAATCTGTGAAGAAGAAGTTGGCAGCTAAGCTCAGCAAAGCTGGACCGAACACCAAAGCTTCCCCGCCAAGACCTCCAAATGCATCGAGGTCAATCTCTAGCCCAACCGTGTTCGTCAATGAGCATCTTCGGTCAGCCAGCGCCCAGGCATTCTATGAGCCACCACCTTCAATCCGTCCTCAGCATGCCAGACAACGGTCAGACTCGGTAGCCATGCAGCTAAAAGCTGCTTTGACAGGCCACAAGACCCATAATCAGTCTCACAACAACGATGACCAAGGCTTCATTGGCGGCTTGAAGCTGGAGCAGAAAAGACAGAATGACGCCGGCATTCCCTTCAGAAAACCTAATCCGCCTTCTTTCCTGACCGGTCAGAGATCTCACTCATTTGGACCTGAAGTTAGGGTAACCCCGCCAGCAATGACACCTTCAGCGTTGCCGCGTTCTTTCTCATTCGATCCGCAAGGAGAGCGACCTGACGAGTACGACGAAGACTCATACGGGCCCAAGACCCCACGATCTGCTTCTATCAACACCTCTGCTTGGTCTCAGCCTTTAGTCTCGCCCACAGCACCGCCTGTACCTGATGTGAGCAATTTTCACCAATGGATGAACGGCACGAAGCAATCGCAAGTGCCCGCCAACGACGATGAGTTGGAGATTCATAACGGACTTAGCGAGGTTGTGGTTGAGCAAGAGCGAGGACGAAGAAGAGAGAGTTACGTTCACCAGTCTCGCCAACAAAGCAGAGAAAGATCCATGAACGGCTACAGAGACGAAGTTCGCGTCTCTGCCAAATCTCACTATCCTCCGGCCTCCAATCGTCCACTACAGTCTCGAGCATACTCCTCTTCTTCAGAGAGCAGCCCAATGGGCTCCAACTTCCCTCCACGTAACGGATCGCTCTCTAGCCTCGG